CGACCTCCAGGGAGTTGCGAATTATGCTCTCATTGTGCCTACGGCTCTGGAAACTGACAGCATAACTATTGATCCAATTTTCATTGGGAGACAAAATGATGAATCAGAAGTTCTGCGGCAGATAACTAGACCTGTCAATGAAGTTCTTTCTGTACTTCCCATAGTTGGAATGGGAGGGCTTGGCAAGACAACCTTAGCTCGGTCGGTCTTCAATCACCAGAACTCGGAGAGTCATTTTGCCATTAGGATTTGGGTATGCGTTTCTGAAAATTTTGATGTGATGACGCTTTTTAAAAGGATTCTGGAGTCCTTAGGAGAAATTTTTCATGGAGTCAGCAGGCAAGCTGTTGTGGATAGGCTTCGAGAAAAATTGAAAGACAAAAGATACTTGCTTGTTCTTGATGATTTGTGGAATGAAAATAGAGAAGCTTGGGAGGATTTCGAAAATACTATGGCTGGAGTTAACACCAGCAGAGGAAATGCCATCATGGTGACTACACGTCAGCAAAGTGTGGCATCAATTGTGAAAACTTACGGAGATCCATATAGCTTGAAGTTATTAACAGATGATGAGTGCTGGTCTATAATCAAAGCAAGGACCTTTCGAGATGCAGAAGTACCNGAAAGGGAAAAGATGAGTGGCTCTCATTTCTGGAGACTGGACTTTCAAATCCAAAAGTAAATGAAACTAATGTGATGCAAGTCCTAAAGGTAAGTTTTGATCGCTTGTCTTCTCCGTTACTTAAAAAATGTTTTGCCTATTGTTCAATATTTGCCAAGGATTCACGAATAGAGAGAGAAGATTTAATCCAGCTCTGGATGGCGGAAGGATTTCTTCCAGATAATCCAGAAATTAATATGGAGACTTTGGGCAATACATGTTTTAACATTCTGTTGCAAAATTCCTTCCTGCAAGATGCCGAAAAGGATAAGTTTGGCAATATCAAATACTGCAAGATGCATGATCTTGTGCATGATCTGGCATGCTTAGTTTCAAATTCAGAAAGCTTTAATGCGGAGGATCACATTGCTGACGACATTCCTAAAGTCAGATTCCTTGCTACAAAGTTACTTAAAGAGGAAACACAGGTTACAAAAGAGAAGGCAAGTTATCTGCGCACATTACTCTCCGGCAGTAGCTTATCTAACAAAATTTTGCCATGGTTCAAGCACCTGCACATTCTAAAGTTATGTTACGCAGATATTGAAGTTCTTCCTTTCGCAATTGGAAAGTTGATACATTTGAGATATCTTGATGCATCCAGAAATTATAAAATGAAAACTTTGCCAGATTCTATTTGCAAGCTCTACAATTTACAAACATTAAGGTTTGTAAATTGCTCCCATTTTCTACGGCTTCCAGAAAGGCTCTCCGACTTGAGTAATTTGAGACATCTCTACTTTTATTCTTCTAACAAGGATTTCCAGATGCCGCCTAAAATCAGAAAATTGTCTCATCTTCAAACATTACAGTTTTTTAGAGTGGGTGACAAGGAAGGCTGCCGAATCGAAGAGCTAGGATTTTTGAAGAATCTTAGAGGCAAACTGGATATACACAATCTTGAACTGGTGAAAGGCATAGAAGAAGCAAAGAAGGCGGATTTGGTTGGAAAGCCAAAGATATATAAATTAAGTTTTATGTGGACAACAAACAATGATGAGAATGTCTCGGAAGGCAACAACAACGATGAAAGTGTTCTCGAAGGCCTCCAACCTCACCCAAATTTGAAAAGCATAGGAATTGAAGGATTCAGAGGTACAAAATTCCCATCATGGACTATGAGAATGGAAGTATTCCTTGATGGCCGTGGTTGGTTGAAACTTGATAAACTGATCGATGTCTTCTTCAGTAATTGCAAAAATTGTGAAGAAATTCCCATGTTTGGTCTCCTACCACTCCTCAAATATCTGACCTTGGATGGTTTGACTAACGCACAATCCATAGGTCCTTCATTCTATGGTGGCCAAGAGACGAGAGTAATGTTCCCAGCACTTGAAAGACTTATTCTACGGAACATGCCAAACCTAACAGAGTGGGCAGAAGCTGAGGTGATACCGGTGGCGGAAACACAAACATGCAGAGAGCAGGTATTTCCTTCCCTTGAAGTTTTGATCATCAAAAATTGCCACAAATTGAATACTGCTCCAAGTCATTTCCCTTGCTTGAAAAATTGGAGATTGATACTATGGATAGTGATTTACCATTGACAAAGATTCTGAGTAGCAGCGACCTAACTTCTTTGGAAGATCTCTCGATCAATAATATATCAACGCTCACTTGTCTTCCCCACTTGAAAGGATTCCAGAAATATCTTCGAAAGTTGAGTATTGAATATTGTGACAAATTGAGAGAATTATCTGATGATCTACATAGCTTCCAGTCTCTCGAGTCTTTGAGAATATCTAGTTGTGAAAGTCTACAATCAATTTCATATCAAAGTGGACAAAAAGGTCCCCCTTCTCTTCTAGACTTGGTAATTGGGAATTGCTCTGAGCTGAGCTGCCTACAAAGTGAAATGATTGAGTCCATCCGCTGTCTGGAGTATCTAACGGTGTTTGGATGTGACCACCTCATTTCTTTTCCAATAGATTTGGGGAAATTGCCTTGTATCTCAAGGTTACATATATACATTTGTCCTGAATTGAGGAGTTTGCCCAAGGGAATTGGCCATCTTAGCAACTTATCACAATTGAGCATTGGTAGATTCTCAGAATCAATTGATTTCAACTCATTCCAAGCTGCTCTCGATGGCATCCAACGATCCAAATCTCTCTTGCAGTTGAATTTATATGGTTTGGAACATTGGGACTTATTTCCATATCAGCTTCAGCATCTCACTTCGCTCCATAAGTTAGCATTGTCTGGTTTTGGAATTGAAGCATTGCCAGAGTGGTTTAGAGTTCTATCATCTCTGGAAAGATTATGTCTGTATGAATTAAAAAAGCTTAGGCATATGCCCTCTAAGGAAGCGATGCAATGCCTCACTAAGCTAGAATATTTAAATGTTTTTCAGTGTCCATTGTTGGAGGAAAAGTACAGCGAAGAAAGAGGCCCTGATTCCGAGTGGTCAAAGATTTCACATATTCCTCACATAGTTGGAGTGGCCCCATAATTGTAGAGAGGCCTGGTATGCTGATATAGTCGGGGTAAGTATTTGAGCTCAACCACTTAAATGTTTTCATTATTTCTTTTTATTATACATTATAATAATTTAATGTGTATGTTGTAAATATAAATTAAATATGCCTAAGCAGTGCTATTAATCGGTAAATTGTCTTGTGTGTTTCGCACCGAATAGATCGCCAATATATCAATCGATATTCCTATTGTTAAGTATTTGTTATTAGAATTATTTTCATTTGGTAAATTGAAAATCAGATTAAAGAAATCTATGGATTTGTTAAGAGTTTATATTTTCACTATGTTGAATTTATTAATACAGTTTAAATTTGACAAGGTGTTCTATTTCCCGGTCAATTATATTTATTCTTAACCTAGTATCTATTCTAAAGTACATTAAGCCTTATTTAATGCCCATTAAAGAGAATTTTTGCGAAAAAAAAAAGAATTTTGGAATAGTGATTTTTAAATATTGTGTGGTTAAAAAGTAGGAAAATTTTGGATTTACGTGCAAAATATTTTATTGTGAGAATTTTTGTTTGAAAATGAGTTTAAAAAAATGTTCTTCAAGAATGATAGACAAATAAGGGTTAAAGTTATTTTCTAGATTTCACTCAAATATCTATATGCAAAATTAATTTATTTTTCCTTTTGTTGTTGTCAGTGGAACGTGGGTATAGATTAATCAAATGTTCGTGGTGAAAGATGTGTTTTGAATTTTTGATGGAGTTTGAGCAAAAATAAACTTCTTCAGCATAGATTCTCAAGGGAGCTAGGTAGCTCTCTTTCAACAGTAGTTCAAGAATGCTTGCAAGTACTGTGTTTGAAATACAAGGTGCTGGGAGTTAATGGTTTGTTGGTTCTTAATACTCTCTATGTCCAGACTATTGTGCTTTTAATTATTTCTTAGTGTTTATTAAAATAATATTCTGCTTGAATTATTTATTAGGTCAAGGGATTGTTAGTTCTTAATTATTTCATCGGTTAAGGAATAACATGGCATTGATTTTGTTTTAAGTTTATTTACACACTGTTTGCAACTAGAAATTTTCATTTCCCTCCTGACTCCTCTACATGTGTCGAACGCGTTGATTAGTTTCTTTTAGCAAAGAATTCATAGCACACTCCAAAGTGTTGTATTCTTAACTTTAGAAAATTATTTTCTTTCTAGTAGATTTAGAATTAAAATAAGGAATGCCAAATATGAAAATAAGAACTTCCGTTCATAAAATTTGGGAAAAATGTCTCCTAATCCGTAGTAATGCAACCATCATTCAATAAAAACTATTACTTGTGAAACGAAGAAATACTCGGTCACGTTAGAATTATGAACCATTGGCTTTGTTCTTACTTGAAAATAGTAATGAATAATGAAATAGTGAATTTGTAGATGCCAATGTACATTGTTGTGCTTGATCCAAAAGTAAAGTCCATAATAATTCAACCAAATCATTTCATATGCCAAGCAATTCAAATAAACAACTATTGCACCCAAAAACAAAGTAAAAAGAGAAATACAACTCCAAAGACATGTAACGAATAGATAAGTATATTTACAAAGATGTGGTGTGTAATTTGATTTATGCTACAACATAGTTATTACATTGGGTTTGTAACATAAAATTCCTCTCCTCCTCGTTTTGGTTTTCAATTCTATGTTTCTTGTGAGATCTATTTAGCTGTAAATAAAAATAAATTAAAATTACTTTTAAACTAAATATTTGCTTAACATAATTTTCAAGTTGCTATTCTGTAGAAAGTAAGCTAAAACTCAGTAACCTAACTGAGTTGAACATTATGGTTAAATCAACAAATTCAGTTGAGTCAATTGTACAACGTCAGCACTATTTCTCAGCATTTCACTAAATGACCAGTAATCATTTTTTACTCCAAATTAAAAATCTGAGGTCTGGCAATGGTCAAGAATACTTTAATACATTCTTATCCGCTTCTTTCCAAGATAATAGGATTATCCATTACTTTTCTCGTTATTTGAAATTAATGTCGATTTCCAGTAATTTCCTACAGTTCTAAGCATTTGACAGTTGATCGTTTGATCTCCGAGTAACCCAATTCATTTTGATTTCTAGCAATTGTAGGCCTTGTAAATTTCACAATTTGTTGTAGTATTTTGGACGGAAATCGATTGTATCAGATCTGACTATGTTGATTTAGGGAGATCTTGAAGTGGGTTCTATTGATTTTTGTTATGTGTGGCTTCTTCACTAACTTGATTTGAAACCATTGAGCCTTTAGATTCGTGTTTTATCAGGAATGCTAGATCTAGGGATATACCATGTTTTGATCCAAAAGTTCAAGATATACTATCTTAGAAGAGTAACTACAGTTGGGTATTCTTGCGTCATTTTGGTTGGATGACAATTTTGTCGATGAAGCAACCCTCATCTAAGTTGGATCTTTTTGGATTTCTCCATTTGAGTCTCTCTTACGTCTATAATTTTTCCCCAAGCGAGTTTCCTTGGTCATTTGTCAGGAATCATTTGTGGATACTCTATTGCCTGGGGATTAATCCATGGAATGAACAATTATTGGGCGATATCTATGCTAGAATGGATTTTGCTAATATGTATTGTATATACAGTTTGAAGAAGTTTGGTACATATGATTTCAACTTTCACGAGATTGAATCGATGGCAGATCCTTCCATGTTGTCTTGCGTTTCATAGCTTCAGGGGATGATAGAAACTTGCTGATGAGCACATTGCCAGATTTCAGTACCAATCTTGTCTAGCTTCTGGGAGACATATTGCTCTACATTGTGCATTCGTACTTAAATACTTCGGGTTTATCAGATCATTTAACAAATGATGTGATAAGGCGTCACTTTTGGGAGGCTGCTTTTACTACTTTTCAGATCAGCATGAGTCTTGAATGTCTTATGACACCATATAGAGAATTAGAGTTACCCCCGTTGACAAAACATTGTTTATAATATAAACTAATTCTCACTCCAGATAAATTTGCGATCGACTACTTGTGTTGTTTTTTTGTCCACTTCATTCATTTTGTCACTACTACCCATATGGATATTTTGTCATAAGACCTATAATGCAGTAAAGGTATTGTCTTAATCATGGATGGTAAAATTTTCCACTTCGAAAAGCAAAAGGTTGTCGTATTAAACATGTAGAGTAAGGAGTACTTTGCCTTAGTGAGACCTAATCCCTGTGAGGACCCACCCACAAATGGAACGAGGATTTCCCTCTTAATTGGTTTGGTGGGACAGGGACGGAGCAGAAAATTTTGTCACGAGACAGGTGTTGTTAGGGACAGGGGATAGGATCTCTACTCCAAACCTGTCCCAAATTATTAATTTTGATATAGCCCTCATTTGGTCTCATTATTTTTCAAAACACATTTTCTTTCTCTTTTATTTTTTACCACACATTTTTCAATAAAATAATATTATACGCAAAATCCAAAACCTTTTCTTATTTTTTAATCATAAATTCTCCATGAAAATACTATTCTAAAATGTATTTTGAGCAAAAATCTGGGCTTAAACACGCATATAATATAATTGTTTATACACACAATACATTCAGTTGATTGAAAACATTAAATTGAAGGCCACAAATTCACTTATAGTCTATTTAATGATAATTTTGTTTTTTAAATATGTTCACCTCTCCTTTATGGAGTATTTTTTCAACCTGAACCCGTCCCTAATTTTTCTTGTGCTTAACATGCAACTATATAACAGCATGTGATCATCAACCTTTCGTAGCTTTGATTTTTGATAATCATAATTGGTTCTGGAGTCATATATTTTAGGGTGGCTAGTGTGTATGCTTGTACATCTTTTCATGGCATTGTTCTTCAATCTTGTGCATTTGCTTTCTCAAATAAGAAAATTAGACTTGACGTACCTGTGCTTCTTCCAGTGCATAATAAAGGTAAAATTTATGACGTTTTGATAGGGAAGATTGAACAATACTAGAAAGAAAAAGAACGTAAAATTTGGTCAGTAATATTTTATAGTCTTGTAGAACCCAATGTTGCATTCTACATACTTCCAACACCTATAGACAAAAACTAAAACAAAGGAAAAAGCCATTACTGAATTCATTATAGGTGTTAGAAAAATAAACATGCAGTTAACCTATTTAATTTAGTTTCATGAATTTAGGAGTTTGAAATACATGTATTATTAATTAATATGCACCTAGTTAATTGTGATTCATGTATGCATGTATTATTAATTAATGTGTACCTAGTAAATTGTAGTGCATGTAATAAAATTAAATTGAGGGGATGAACTTATGTGATAGGAAGTCCTATAAATACCTATGTAATCTTGAGTGGAAGGTAAGTCCACAATTGAATAGAAAATCATTTCCTCCTCCTAAGTCCACTTCTATTTCCTACAAAGTGGTATCAGAGCCACAATACTAAAAACAATGGCGAATACGAACATGATCCCCTTCCAAGTTCCAAAACTATCCAAAGAGAAATTTGATAATTGGTGCATCCGCATGAAGGCACTACTTGGTGCACATGATGCGTGGGACATCGTGGAGAATGGTTAGGAGGCTCCCACCGATCTAGTTGCTCTCACTCAAGCACAAAGGGATCTTTTACAAAGCACTAAGAGGAAGGATCAAAAGGTTGTTTCTCTTATTCACCAAGCATTGGATGAGGCCACTCTTGAGAAGGTTGCTAATGCTACTACAGCAAAACAATTATGGGATATGTTTCAAGTTGCCTGCAAAGGAAAGGAAAAGGCAAAGAAAGTTCGCCTCCAAAATCTACGAGGTAAATTGGAAGCTATTCAAATGAAGGAATCCAAAAAGGTGTCGGATTATATTTCAAGAGTGGTGACCATTAACCAAATGAAGAGGCTTGATGAAGATGTGACTGATTTAAGGGTGATTGAGAAAATCCTTAGATCAGTTAGTGTGAAATTTGATCACGTGGTGACTGCCATTGAAGAATCGAAGGACTTGGAAGATATGACAATTGAAAAATTATGCGGATCATTGGAAGCATATGAAGAGAAGCTTTATTGAAGAAGGAAGGAGCCATTGGAGCAGTTTTTACAATCAAAGCTCACATTGAAAAACAAGGAAGAAAAGGGAAATACAAGTTTCAAAGGATGAGGGCGTGGACGAGGACATGGATGAGGCTTTGGAAGAGGAGGAAGAGGTAACCATATTTCATTTCAACGTAGAGATGAAAATTATCAATCCAACTCAACAAGAGGACATGGCAGAGGAGGAGCAAGACCATACCAAAAGAGGTATGACAAGTCGCAAGTTAAATGTTATACTTGTCATCAATTTGGACATTATTCATGGGAATGTAAAAGTGGTGATGGTGCGAAAGCTAACCTTTCTTATGAAGAAGATATAGAAAATAATGAAGAGATAGAGTTTACTCTTTTGATAGCTTGCAAGGACTTGCAGCAAGGAGAAAAACATTCTTGTTTCCTTGATACTGGAGCTAGTAATCACATGTGTGGGAACAAAGATTTGTTCATAGAACTTGATGAGAAGGTTGGTGGCAATATCACATTCGGGATTCCTCCAAAATTCCAGTAAAGGGGAAAGGTAAAATCTTGATACGTATGAAAGACGGAAATTACCAATTTATTTCAAATGTTTATTATGCTCTAGATATGAAGAGTAATATTTTGAGTGTGGGTCAATTATTGGAGAAAGGTTATGCTTTGTTCACAAAATGTTGCAGTGTGTTTTTAAAGGATGATGTAGGAAATTTGATTGCTAAAGTACCTATGGCGAAAAATCGTCTATTTGTGTTGTACATACAAACTAATATGGCTAAGTGTTTGACGTCGTATTATAAAGACTCATCATGGTTGTGGCATTTACGATTTGGGCACATAAATTTTGGAGGGCTTAAAACAATGACTAGCAATGGAATGGTGAAAGGTTTGTCTCCAATACATCAGCCTAATCAGCTTTGTGAAGGGTGTCTTTTTGGTAAGCAGTCAAGAAAGGTCTTTCCAAAGGAATCTCAATCAAGAGTTTCAAGGC